TATTGAGTCTGAGTTCATTTGGCAGGTATAATACTTTTTGGATAGCAGTGGATGGTATTTAAAGCATGCCAGAAGGGGAGAAGACTCAGGCCACACCCAGAGGTAGCTACTGTTTATGTCAGTGTTAGCTGTAGCTCCAAATCGGGCTCTGGACATTGCTGTGAGTACAATATATTCCTTAGTTTTTAAATTAAAATTTGTTTTTACTGAAATACTATACATACACAGTTTAAAGCTCAACCCCTCTTCCAAAGCCTGCAGTTCAAAGCTGTCTCTACCCTTCTAAACACCTGAATTTTGTTCTCCAGAAGCAACCATACTCACTCATGATTCTTCCTGGTCATGCCTCAATAATCCTAAGTAAATGTCAGGTTAGGATATTCTCTTTTAATTTGTCATTGTGGCATATGGGAATTTAGCTTTTACTCAAACTCTACATTGCAAAAATATATCCATCTTCTTTTCTCCTACAAAAAAATAAATTGAAAATGTTGGTTCAATTAATAGTATCTACAGTTATTATGGTTGAGTCATATATTCATACTTGTGAGCTATGCTTATATTTTATGTCCTTATAATTTTTCACTTAGGATTAATATCTTCTTAAAACCAGTTAATTATGTTTATTTGCTTTATAAAAATTTCAGGCATTCATATTTTTTCAGGTATTTAGAGTAATATAACAAATTTCCATGTACCCATAAACCCATTTGAGAAATAAAATTTAGAAGTACCACTTGAACTATAGATAAATTGATTTTTTATCACAATCCCCTTGCTACCCACTAGAAATAAATGCCATAGAAGTTTTGATTATTATTCTAAGGGATTTACAGTTTTACTTAATATGTTTTTATCCTGAAGCAACATATTAATTTTTTTGTATTTTTACCTTCATATAATTACATCATATTATATATATATTATAAACCTTGCTTTTCCTATCAGTAAGTTTTTGAGATTTCTAATGTATAAAGCTCTGCTTCATTTTATTGATATAAATATTCCATTGATTATATACACAATGTATTTTTTATTCCCCTGATTTATTGATGGAGATTTGGTTTATACTCAAATTTAGGTATAAAAGTACTGCTATAAGAATTCTATTACATGCTTCCTTGCACCCAAAAGATGAGATTCTTTTTTTCTTTTTTTCTTTTTCTTCTTGGTACTGGGGATTGAACTCAGGTCCCTGCTCTTGCAGGGCAGACAGTGGAACCACTGAGCTAAATCCCTAGCCCAAAGATGAGATTCTTTAGGGTATTTTTTACGTGGCAGTAGAATCATGAGTTGTGGAGCTTGCTTCAATGGTTCCGATAGAGGATTTATAGAGCTTTCTGGAAATTTTGGCAACGTACAATCCCATCAGCACCAAGCGTGCTCTTACCTTACACCTGGTACTTGTTAACTGTCAGTCTTATTAGTGTGAAATAATTTTCATTGTTGTTTTATTTTGCATTTCTCCACTTATTAGAATTTCTCTTCATGGGTTTGTTGGCCTCTGGGGTTTTCCCCAAATTCCCTTTTTGAAGGTCTTGTTTGCCTTTTTTGTATTCATTTCAGGGAATTCTTTATGTATGTAGATTTTAGGTATTTTTTACCATAAAATTTCCCAATGTAGCCTTTCTGTAACTTTTAATTTTCTTCAGAGTGTCTCTTGATATTTGGACATTGAGATTTGGATATTTCAAAAGTTGAATTTGTTTTTTCTGGTACTGGGGTTTGAACCCAAGGCTCTCACACTGAGCTACATATGCAAACTTTTTTTAATTTTTTGAGACAGTTTCTCACTAAGCTGCCCAGGCTGGGCTTGAACTTACTTACGATCTTGCCTGAGCCCCTGAGAGTGCTGGGATTACAAGTGTGCACCACCATGCTGGGTAAAATGGTTGAATTTATTAATCTTTTCCCTGTGATGTTCATTTTTTCTGTCTTATTTCAGATATCCTTTGTTTATAAATTTATGAATTGAAAAATAATCTATATTTTCTTTTAATTTTTATGAGCTTGTTGTCAAGAACTTTTTTCCACCCAGGACTAATTTTCATGCATATTACTAGGATGGCGTATAATAATGTCTTTCTTTTATGGATAACTATTGTCCTCATATCTTTTTTCTGCAGTTCATTTCCTAACTGATCTGCAAGGTTACCCTTTCAAATTTTAATTTATTTATATATGAGGTCTTTTAAAAAATATAGATATTCTATGTTTATAGGACAGATTCTCTTGATTTGTATTTCTATGAAATGTCATTATCACACTGTCTTAATTACTGTAGTTTTGATATGTTGTAGGATATATCCCTGTTCTCATACAACCTTTTCATCTTTTCCTTGTCTTTTATTTTTTTTCCTTTTTTCCTCCACTTCCTCTTCTGTCTCATTTCTCTTCAGCCTTCTGTCTCTTCCTCTGCCCCTCTTCCTCCTCTTATTTTTCTTTTGAATTATCATCTTTATCCCCATTTCTTCTTATTTATTTTGTTGCCAATGCCATGCCTCTAAGTGCTATTCTCATTTTCCTCTCTCTTATCTTTTAGGTTTAGTCATTTTTTTTAGCTATTCTGCAATTAAATATGTACTTAGACTGTACTTCTTTACCCATCTCTACCATATCACAGGTAGTTTTGCTATCATTCTCTTCCTCCAACATAATTATGCAATAATTTTGGATAGATTAATATTCAGTATTTATATTATTAAAATCATGTAAATGTTATTTAATTAACCATTATTATACTTTTCCTGCAAAACTTTTGTCTTCTCTGTCACTGTTTATTATCTTGTACCTTATGCTTTTTTTCTTTTTTTTTTTTGGTACCGGAGATCGAACTTGGGACCTTGTGCTTGAGAGGCAGGCACCGGAACCACTGAGCTAAATCCCCGGCCCATTATCTTGTACCTTCGTATCCTTAGACACAGGTCACCAACCCAAGCCACACGTGCTTTGCCAGTCATCTCTTGTCTCTTGAGAGGAGGCACAGACAGGTGTTCTGTAGCCCACCTGCTCCTAGAGCCTGGACCCTTCTGCCTGTGGACCTGGGGACTGGTTTCCCTCGACACCTAGTGTACACTGCCCACTCCTGAACTCTGATAAATCGTCAACCTTGTCCTGCCCAGTGTTTTTCTTTCCAATCTTTCACCCTGTGAGTTTACTGCTTTGTTCTGCTGAGGCAGTTACACTAGGAGCTTCTTAATAGAAGGCGAGTGGATCTGTTGAGGTTTGTCTGCCAGGTAATTCCTTTTCTCCATGATTACATTGGCTTATGCCTTGTCTGTGTGTCACAGTTACAAATTAACAATAACTTCTTGTCATAATGTGGTCTCATTGCCCTGTTGTCTTCTAGTGTCGTGTCTAAAAACTGTGATGTCAGTTCAGTTCCTCAACATTTAGTGTGACTTGCTTATTTTCCTCTTGAAGGTTTTAGAGTTTTCTCTGTTTTCCCGCTGTACTAAAAAGCCACTGTGATATCCTCTAATGTGTGATATTTTTCATTCATTGTGCCGAGAATTGTTAAATCTTTATTTATGATTTTTCTGATGATTCTCATTTTCTTGTTTAAAAAATCTTCTTAGTTGGATATCAGAGTTTCTTGGATGATTTTCATACTTAAAACTTATCTCCTACTTTTCATCTCTGCATTTTTGCTTTACATTTTTATGGTCTTTCCATCAACTTTATGTTCTGGTTTTTCTACATTTTTTTTCAAATTTCTGCCATCATATATTTAATTTCTATGAAATCTTATTCTTTGAAAGCTCCTTCTATAGCAGTTTCTATTTTATTTATTTTGTATTTATTCTTCTCAGCTTTTAGAGGAAATAATGTTAGTTTTCCTAATTTTTCTCATACAAATCTATTTCCTTTGAGCTTCTGTTTTGGTTTCTCTCTTTTCCTCTTTCATCTGGCAACCTGTGTGTATTCTATTCCTACACAGGGTAAAGACTTAAAAAGTCAACTGGACAGTTTGATCACAAATCTATGCATTTCACTGGGGAGTGATCAGGCAGGATCGGCTTATTTCCCCAGCCAGCTTTCCCTCACCCTACCTCCTATATCTGGTGGATAGAGAAAATCACAACCTACTAGAGCAGAAGCTTCCCTGCGAACCAGTGCTGGGGTAGAAGAACCCAAACTGTATGGAGATACTGCTTGAAGCTCAGTGTGAACAAGCCGGAGAGACAGAAATCCAGGCAGCTCAGCCCAGGAGGGGATCCTCACGTTTTTGTGAGTTTCAGCTTGAAGATATTAACAGCGATCTTGCAGTAAATAGTGGACCAAATTTCCTCAGGGTTCTGGCAGGGAGAGGAGAAAAGAAACCGGTTTGAAATACACCAGAAAATTCTGTTGTTAACAAAGCAGGCTCTCAGGAGAAACTATTTTAACACAGCCTAAAGCACATTACCTCAGTACCTAACCTAGTTGGACAAAGAGATATCTAACTCCAGCCTCCTCCAGCCTTAATATTGTGACTCCAGACCCTCCAAGCCATCTGGTCCCACCTGGCAAACACTGAGTCCTAACGAGAGAGGCACAGAATTACATCGCAAAAGATCAATTTTCACAGTTCCTTAACTGAATACATCATGTCCATTTTTTAATAAAAATTACTAGACATACTAAAGTAAAACCAAACAGTTTGAAGAGACCGAACAAACGTTGAAACCATAGTTATATATGGAAATAAAGTTGGAATTTGTTTTTCAGTACCGGGGATTGAACTATGGACCTTGTGCTTCCCAGACAGGCACGGTGCCATTGAGCTAAATCCTCAGCCCAGTGTTGGAATTATTAATCCAGGATTTTGGAAAAGCTTATTACTATATTAAGGGCATTAAAAAAAAACTAGATAGTCTGAAAAAGACACAGAAAACATAAGCAGAGACGTAAGAATTCTACGGAAAAAAATCAAAACAGAATTCTAAGAAAAAGGTCACTGTGACAAAAGTGACGATAGCCTTTGCTGAGGCTGTCAGTAGACTGGATATAACCGGAGAATCTCTGAGCTTGAGGATCGGCCATAGAAACTTATAAACCTGAAAGGCAGAGAAAACAAAAAAGACATAAAAAGTAAACAGACTATCCAAGAACTGTTGGATCATTTCAAAAGGTACAGCAAATACATACTAGAAAGACCTTTTAAAAGGCAAAGAAGGAAAGAAAGGAAAAGAAACAATATTTGAAGCTATAATGTGATTTTCTCCAAACCAATGTCAAGCATATATACTCTCTCTCTCTCTATATATATGCTATAATGTTATTTGAAAGTAGAATTAGTTTAGTTAGAACCTTAGAATCAGATAACTTATTATCATTAGAAGACTTTATTCCAAATGGACAATTTAGCGAGCAGAAAATTAATACAGACAAGTTTGAATCCAATAGCACCACCAATCAACTACGTATAATTGATATCTATTGGCTACTTCATTCAATAACAGGAGAGTACACATCATTCAAGGTCACAAGATCACTTTCTCAAATTGATAAAAAAACATTATAAAATCCCTACAGCTAACATACTCAGTGGTGAGAAATTGTAGCTTTCCTTCTACTATCAGGAACAAGGCTAGGAAGGCCCCTTCACCAGCTCTTTGTAATACCATAGTGAAAATTCCAGCCAATGAAATAAGAGAAGAAAAAGAAACACATTATTATTTACACTAGTACTCCCCAAAATTAAATACTTCAGTACAAATCTAACAAAATATGTACAAGATCTGCATGAGGGGGAAACTACAAAACTCTCATTAAAAAATAGCAAAAAAGACATGAGAGGAGAAATATTCTATACTCATGGATGTGGTGGTCAACTGAAGGAATAAAATTTGATTTGAACAATAAAATTCAATACAAGAATCTAATACTGTTTAAAAGGTTAATTAGAAATCTATGTAAGTACTTTCATTTAAAATATAATTTAGAATAAATATATTTGATAAGCCAAATATGTATTTTTACAAATTATAAATGAAAGTTGCTGAACATAGCAAACTATTCTTTATTTTAAATGAAAACTGAAGAATTGGGTTGATCCTTTCTGGGCATGAATTGTAACCATAGTCTTGTGGAAAAGTTTATGTCATTTTTATTCTAGTCAACTCAGTTTGGATTTATTGTTAGTTTTGTCCTAAATGAGTTAAAGAAATGGAGTTTTCCTTGAAACATACCCTTTTATAATAATATAATAATTAAGAATTTCTAATATAGATACTGTCATACACATATATGTGTAAGTATATTATATGTGGTAATAGAAAATATATTGCTAATATTACTTTCTATTTCATGGGTTTCTGCTCATTCTATTTGAGACAGAAAGCATGAAAAATATACTATTTTAGCATCTGAATGTTATCAGAGTAGTGGAAAAGTAATGAATGGTAGATAGTTCATAATTGAAGCTGTGGAGAAAACTCCAGAATTCCATCATAGGAAACCAGCTGTCTTGCAGACTTAAGCAGGCAAGATAATTGTATTATCTCTCAATAAGCACCGTGCTGTGGAGGGGCTTAGCAGCAGTACAGTTCCTCCTCGCGGGTGGGATCTGCAGGATGATCTTCTCTCTGCCCCAGCTCACAGAGCTGCACCTCGTGGGCTGAGGAAGAAGCCACTAGCTGCATCCAGTGTTGGGAGCTGGGAGTACCTGGGGCCACCTGAGCAGACTGCCTTGAATGTACACTTCAGACTCAAACAGGAGCTTTTAAATAGCTCCACATGAAAATGTAGATGCTGAGAAAAACATTCGGCTCTATCTCAGCTGTTTAGATATTTGCCACTGAATTGCACAAATCGATGTGCTTACCCTTTGGACTCTAACAATTGATCCAAATTACTAATTATCAAAGTCGAAACCTCTAAACTTCAGTAATAGTGACCTCTCCTTTTCTCTTCAGGAATCTCTAGGTATACCAGTCTACAATTCCAACAGATACAAAAAATGTAAGTAGAAGAAAATAACCAGTCAGTGGGATTTAATAAAGTACATTAAGTTTTATTGGTAAGGGTAAAAAATACAAGGGAAAACTGAGAAGAGAAATGAGGACATAAGTAAATACATATTTTGAGATTTGTGAAGGAAAAGATAAGGCTACTTAATTTTTTTAAAAAAGCAATTTGAGTAAATAATGTTAGCCAAAAGGGTTAACAGGAGGTAGATAAATTTTTTTAAGTATAAAAGGAAAGATATGTACTACGATGGAATACTAGCACCACTTAGCAATTTCAGAGTGCTTTCATCTTCAAAGCATCTTGCATGTTCACTAATTAATCCTTCCAACACCCTTGTGACGTAGACGTGACAAACAAGGACAGAAGCCAGTCTGAAACGACTAATGTACCAGGCTCACTGGTGGAGGAAGAATCATGAAAGCAAGTTGCTAATGAGAGGAAGCCTGTCTATAAACCATTGGAGTTTTATAGATGTAATTTTGGCGTTCTTTGGTGCTTCCTGGTTTTTAAGCTATGTAGGAGCAGGATACTGTGTGTGTGTGTGTGTGTGTGTGTGTGTGTGTGTGTACTTTCAATACTTGTTTACAGAAACACAGAGCCAATAATAGAATTTTAAAGGAAGAGTTCACTACTGTTTGAGTTCAGTTAATGCTGTACTAACGTGGACTACTCAAACGACAAAAATTTAATGTTATCATTAGTACTGGAGCAGCAGTTAGGTAGTTGCTTTTTATGATGTGTAACTTGTGCTCTTAGATGATACACACCTACTATAAAACTGCAGTGAAGGGAGTAAGACTGCATAGGGACTTATTTTCTGTCCTAGTCTGACATGTAGTCCTTTCTTCCTTAGTCGTTTCAACACTAAAGCAAGTATGCAAGGCTCAATTAAGTGAGAGATCTAAAAATTTTAAGTTCCTAATCACCAGACACTCATTTGGGAAACTTCCAATGAAGACTACAAATGCTATCAGTGTTGTAATAAAGTTCTTACCCCCTTGCCACATTCTGAACTCAATCCAGCCTGTAGGAAAAAAAAAAGAAAAGATATTCCTGTTTGTCTTACATAATGATTTAAGTTATCTGGAATTTACGTAAAGAGAAATGACATGCATAGAAACTTTGGCTATATTTCTTAAAGTAATTGTAGGTAATTCTCTACCCCAAAATCATCATTTGGGGTAAAAAAGAAAGAATAATGCCTCTGTGTAAGCTCTTAGAAAATTACCTGTAACAGTTTTATGTTACTTCTACCTTTTTGTATACAACACAAATAGATGTTTTAGCTCATTAAAATAATTTAATATCAATTAATAGAGGCTTATCCTAAAGATAATAATTTTCTTAAAGAAATAGGATTTAAAAATATCTATTCCATGTGATTTCTTTTACTAAAAGCCTAGATAGTGCCATCTAGAAGAACCTATCAGTGTATACTAATAAGATCATTATAAATGTAGGCAATTAATACTCATAAAATTATGAAAGACTTGTTAATTTCTTATAAATTATTCAACTAGAGAATAAATAAAACAGTTTCAGTGTTTTAGTTAAAATGTAACATTAAAAAAGTTCTATTCTAGCCTTCTTATTTGTCCCATCTAAAAACATTCCCCATCCTACCCTCAGTATATTTGCCCCTTGTGAGTCCCTGTATGTTCCTTTCTCATGATTTGGCTTAAGTTTTGAATCTTAGTAGCTTATGTCTGTGCTAGCTTCTCAGAGATGTCAGTCTGCTTCCTTTTTCTGCCTCTCTGTGCAGTGCCGTGAGCCCTGTCTCCTATTATTCCATGGCAACAGTAGTGTGCCTGTCCCCAGACTTGCAGAAGAAGATAGGATGAGCCCATGACCGTCCTGGGAGGATGATAGAAGTGCAGGCTGTTGGAATCCGAGGTGACCCCAGCAGGGAGTCATGTCACCCAGGAGCAGCCTTTCTGTCTCAGGCTAAGGGGATAACAGCAGTGTGACTCACTGATGACAAACCTGCTAACATGTGCATGTCCTTGACTTCCTGTCCTTCGTGACCATTGTCATCGGGGGCATATTTAGCCTGACTCTGCTGCTCTGAAATTTAGTACTAAGGCTTTTGAAACAGTAATAAGCCACAAGTGATAAATGACTAGTTCCAGAAAGAAACCCAACTGCCTTGTTTACACCACTGCTACAAAATTTCTCTTCCAACCTGTAGGTGTAAGGGGATGCGAGGGAGTTGACTGTCTTCCGCTGTGTGGGCTCCACAGTGTTACATGAATTTGTGTCTTTTCCTTCTCCCTCTCTTCCTCCCTTCTTTTCTTTCCCCAAACTAAACATGGATTTTCAGCATTGCATCTGCATAATAAAGTCACGTCTGTTACTGTCCAAGATTTCAAATGTGGTACAGACTTACAGCAACTTCAGTCATTCAATTAACAAATGTTTGTTAGTACTTACTGCAGAAGAGACTGTCACAGATTTAGGCACTGTGACACAATAAAGAATGAGATAGAGCTCCTTCCCTTGTAGAGGTCTCAGTAATTAGGGAGGCTGACTCTGGAATACTCCCAATTAAAATGCTGTCTGCTTTTTGATCATAAAATCCAATCCGTCTACCGTATCTCAATCTCTCATACTTTCTGTTGTTTTTAATTATTTCTGGCATTTTTGTTTTGCTACCTAACATCACTATCATTCCACTTAAAGAGTAACCTTGTTTGTTTTTGTACTGGTCTGCTGGCAATGAATTCTTCAGGTTTGAGTATATATGGGAATATCAGTATTTGATTTTTGCTTTTGAGGGGGTATTTTAAAATATGCAATTCTAGTTTGGCTGTTGTTTTCTTTTAATATTTTAAATGTATTGATCCTCGTCTTCTTGATTTCATTTCTTTTTTATTACAGCTATTAACATATATCATAGAAATTAGTGGAATTTAATGTGACATTTCCATACGTGTTTGTATCATGCATTGATCACATCCACCTACACTTTTTCTACTGTCTTTCCCCTCCTCTGGCCCACTTTCCAGCCCCTAATGTAGTCCTCCTTCTGCTTTCAGGTCTTCTTTTTACTCTTTATTTATTTAAGTTCCCACACCTGAGAGAAAACATGAAATCTATGTCTTTCTGTGTCTGGCTTATTTTGCTTCTATTGAGACATTAGTTGCGTGACTTTGATGCTTCTTTAAAGGTACTGTTTTTCTCTGAGAGTTTTAAATATTTTTCCTTTGTCTCTAATTCTCAGTAGATTTTCTATGATTTGATTATTTGACTAGCTGTGTGAGTATGTGTGTATGATAAAATTATTCTCCTTGCGTTTTGAATTTTTGCTCAGATCTGTATCTTAAATTCTTTTTTGAAAATCTATATTCACTTCCAGTATTATAATATGTATGTATGTTCATGTGTATATGGGCTATATATAATAGTCATATGTATATGACATGGAGAACATCTCCAACATACATGTTATTGAACATAGATATACATACATCTTATGTGTATATATATATCTTATGTATATATTTGCATACATATTTCTTTGCACCATTGTTTTCCTTTGCTTTTGGTCTCTGTATTTAACCTGTATTTTTCTTATTTTTTTCTGGTGACTAGTTCACTAATCCTTTCTTCTGCTGTATCAATATGCTATTATACTCACATAAGTATGAATTTCTGTGTATCACACTTTCAATGATAGAATTTTCATTTCAATGCTAGAATTTTTATCTCATTGTTTATAACATATAACAGTTCTCTAGTGGTATACTTTGTCTGCTACACTTTTTGGAAAATATTCACTACAACTCTTTTAAAGTTCATTGTTAAAAAATCTTCAATAACTTAAGTGAGAATTCCTTTGTATTGTTTTCTCTTCATCATGTTCTTACATGCCTAGTACATTTTTACTGAGTAATATACCTCATGTAGACTCTGGATGCTATTTTAGTTTTTCCAAGAGGATTTACCCTGGTCTGTGCTAGAAACACAGAGTAATGTCAGATGGCAGTCTTCTGATCACAAAGGCAACTCAATGTTAGGTTAAATCTATCTCTAATTGTCCCCTAATTTATGGGTGCAGACTTCCAGCATTCCCACAGATTTCTAGAAATAATTGCTAAGATTCTTCTCCACAGATATCCCAGAATCTGATTTCTGTCTTGTTAGCGTGGTACTGTTTAGTCAGTGGAGAATATGAATCCTCTAGATGTTTTTATTCTTTTTCCCTTGAGAGTGTTACAATCAGGACCATATATGGAATAGATTATGGAAGCCCAGTTAGGAGGTTGTAGTAATAGTTTGGATATGAGCTAATGAAGCAAGATACAGGGAGTTGGCAGGAGACGTGTATATGAAGAGAAAGATATGGACCTTCTAACGAAAGCAGAGTGTGCTAGTTAACTATGTGAAAGTTAATGTGTCAAAATCTCTTTCAGACTCTAAGACTAGGTAACTGAAATATAGTCTGAAGGCAACTAAAAAATGATATCGTAACTTAGAAGAGATTTTAGAAATGGAAATATATAGATCCAATACACATATAGGAGAAGACTGAAGACTTGGTAGGGGATCAGAGCTTTTGGTTGAGAACCAGAAAGGGAACAAAGGAGAAGAGAAGAAACCAGAGAACTGATTCACTGGCCTCACATCCATTTTGAGATGAATCTGATGGCAGATGATCCTTTTTTCTCTTAACCAATATGTGTCACCATAATATATAAGGAAAAATTCTATATAAACGTTCTATTTAAGTGTAGACAGTGTTTAGTATTCATAAGGGAATAGAGATGAAATAGAAACATGAAATGATTTTATGATATCTGTACTTTCTACTTTTCTTATGTCAGACTGACTAAAATTTCTATCGCCACAGTGTATAAAGACTATTGATCATTATGAAAGAAAGATTTAGTTAACTCTATTCTTTTTAGAACTTTTTATCCTTTGGATACTTGAAATTTCCAAAAGAACTTGATGAAAAGTGTATTTGGAATTCTTAAATACAGGAGAGCTTA